GTTATGTGGCCTGAGCATAAAACCACACCCACCACCAGGGCCAGACTTTCCTGTATTCAGGTCTGGGTCTCATCTTTGCTCAGTGCTGCATAAACACTGTTTGTCTTTTTGACTCTGCTTTCCTGTTTCCACATTACCATTCCTTTTTACCCTCAGGTCTCAGCCCTGGCTGCACATTAGAATCACCCAGAGAGCTTTCAAAAATCCTGACATCTGGGCCAGACTCCAGATCAATTAAATCACACTTTTTGGAGGTGGGCCTCAGGTCTTAGGATTTCTGAAATTTTGCCAAGTAAGCCTAATGTACAGCCAAGTTTGAGTAGTACCAGCATATTGACATACTTCTTGTTTAAGCTATGTTAATATCACTGAGCAGGAAATAAACAGGTCCCAGCCTCTTCCCCTTTTTCCCAACAGATAATCATACATTCTCTCTCTCCTCTTCTCCACTGCATCTACTAACTTAATGCTGGGATTTCTGGGGATGCCTTACCCTCATGCAAAGGGGAAGCTTTCAGACAGTATTTCACAGGTCTCCAGTGCAGTACACTGTTATGTGTACTGGCAAAATGAGGTAGGATCAAATGCTTTTGACATATGTGACAGGTAGAAGAATCCAATATTTCATCTTTCACTAACAACATTTGACAGAAATGAGCTGAGAAGCAGCTGGAAGCAAGTGGTAAAGAATTTGTCAGAAAAAAAAAATATTTACTGAGTGCTAGTTTCTTTGTGGCTCACTCCGTGGGTCCATGACATGATACCAAAATAGATCAGAAAAATATCAGTCCCACATGTTGAGAGTCTGAGATGGTTCACACTATGTAAAATGTGCCAAGTGCTCCAAGAGATAAAATGCTAAGGAAGTGAGTCGGGTGGGGAGCAATTTCCACCCAGGGGATTACAGGAGTCTTTGCAAAGCAGGCAGCATTTCAGCAAGGCCTGAGAAAAGGGGCAGAATTTGAAGATTGGGGCTGGAGGAAGGACATTCTGAAAGCGAATGGCCCCAGTCCTGAGGAGGGAGTGTGGAACAGGGAGCAGCAAGGCACTCCATTCCCCAGGGCAGAAGAGAAGATGCCAATATCTGAAACATTCTGCCACTTTGTTAGTTTTAGAAGCATTCCCTATCAAAAGTTTGGTGAGATCTTAACAATAAATTATGAGTTCAGCTGAGCATGTTTCACACTCATAACCTGATGCAGTGTTTCCAAAGGGCTGGGTGGTGGATGTAGCAGTATCACAAATGCTTTTATGTATTTCAGTCTTGCAAGGCCCCAAATTAATTACAGAAGAGGAAACGTAGATATGAAAAACCAACTATTTCTATGATGATTGCATTTTCTTACGAGGTGCTAATTTGGACGTCTGCCATTTCCAATATTATTATTTTAACTCACTAGAAATTGGATAATGCCAGGCTTGTGTAGATTAAGGGCAAATATGGGTCTGAAGATGAAAAATGTCTCTGTAGCAAGACTGGAGCAACCCGCACACATCATTCCCAGGAGTTAGGGCAGCAGCAACCTGGCTGGCATCTCTGCAACCCTGTGCCCAGGGATCCCGTTGCTCTCCCCGGGGTTCCCGCTGCCATTACCATGACAATGGCCCTCCAGGGGAGCAGCTCGGCCCTTGGCAACCACCAGCTAATTTAAAAATTAACTCAGATGATCCTGGACTTGATCCTGCATGAGAAAAACATTCTGTTTCTTCATTCTTTTTATATGTTGGGACAAATGGACTAAATTTGAATACTGATTGTAGATTAGATGGGTGATTTAATGTGCTTCAGACTCACCAGGTGAACTTTGTCAAAACACAGACTGTTGGACCCCCACTCCCAGAACTTCTGATTCAGTATGGCTGAGAATCTGTATGCCTAACTTCCTGAGTGCTGCAGCTGGTGGTCTGGGACCCCACTTAAGAACCACTGGATTGCATACTAGCATTGTATCAATGTTAACTTCCTGATGTTGACTATTGTGCTGTGGTCATGTAAGAAAATGTACTTAGCCTTAGAAAATACAGTAAAACTTAGCATGAAGGGGCATCATGCCTGCAACTCACTCTCGAGTGGTTCAGAAAAAAATATAGAGTAAATGAAAAAACAGAATGATAAAGCAAATGAGAAAAAATGCTAACTGGCAAATCTGGACAAATAGCATATGGGAGTTTATTGAGTTATTCTTGCAGATTTCCTGGTAGGTTAAAATTACACTAAAATTAAAATTTTAAAGGTTAAGGCAGGTAAAGAAAGTTATATCTTATCATTTAGACCTGTACAATATAGCAGCCAGTAGCCATATGTGGTTATTTAAGTTTAAATTAATTAAAATTATGCCTCAACACCAAAAATGCAAACAACCCAATTAAAAAATGGGCAGAGGACTTGAACAGACATTTTTCCAAAGAAAACATACAGACAGCCAATAGGCACATGGTAAGATGATCCACGTCACTAATCATCAGGAAAATGCAAATAAAAACCACAATGAGATATCACCTCATACCATTCAGAATGGTCACTATTCAAGAGACAAGAAATAGTAGTAAGTGTTGGTGAGGATGTGGAGGAAATGGAACCCTCCTACACTGTTGGGGAATGTAAAGTGGTGCAGTCACTGTGAAAAGCCATATGGTTCCTCCTCAAAAAACTAAAAATAGAAATACCATATGACCCAGTAACTCCACTCCTAGGAATTTACCCCCCCCAAAAAAACCCCGCAATCTTTGATTTCACAAGATACATGCACCCCTTTATCACTGCATTATTAACAATAGCCAGGATATGGAAGCAACCAAAGTGTCCATCAATAGGTGCATGGACAAAGATGTGGTACACATACACAATAGAATATTATTCAGCTGTAAAAAGAAAAGAAATCCTACCATTTGCAACAACATGGATGGACCTAAAGATATTATGCTAAGTGGAATAAGCCAGGTAGAGAAAGACAAATGCCACATGATTTCACTTATTTGTGGAATATAAAACAAAACAAAACAGAATGAACAAACAGCAGTAGACTTATAGACACTGAGAAGTAACTGGTGGTTACCACTGAGAGGGACTGAAGTGGTTGAGTAGGGAGGGTGAGTGGGATAAAAGGGCACAAAGATTCTCAATGATAATATAAGTTGGTCATGGGGATGAAAGTGCAGCATGGAGAATACAGTCAATGGTTCTGTAACATCTTTCTACATTGACAGTAACTGCACTAGTTGGGGTATCTAATAACATGAGTAACTGGTGAATCACTGTTGTATACTTGAAACAAATATTATATTGTGTATCAACCACTTCAATAAGAAAAGGAATAAATTAATTAAAATTAAATAAAATTTAACATTTAGCTCCTCAATCACACTGGTCACACTTCACCAAGTGTTAAAGATTCATGTGTGACTAGTGACTACTGCTTTGGATGGCACAAATATAGAATATTTTCATCATCACAGAAATATCTAATGGACAGTATCAACTAAAGTGAAAAATATTTTAAGACCAGGAAAGAGTCTTCAGAAAATTCAATGTGCCAAAAGTAGCAATAGAAGTAGCAGTAACAGTCATAAGCAATAAGAGTCGATTGTTTCCCAAATAAGAGTTTAACTGAAGGGGCCAAAGGAAGAAAATGAATAAACTATAGCAGATGAATCATAGTGTGGTTACATATGAAAATACTTGTAGTTTTGCATGAATTTGTGACATAATTACATTGTTCACTATCACTGCTCTTCATGCCTCATCATGCAAATAATTTTCTTCCCCATTGGGTGAGGGAATAGTTAACCAAATGTCCTGGGTTGGTGGGGTTTTTTTTTTCTCACTTTCCTCCAAGCAGCAGAGAGGCAAGATCTGGTTGGGGATCCACCTAGCAAGGCTGAGCCAAAGAGGCTGACTTGAAGGGGAACAGCCAAAACTTGGAATATCTTGATCTTGCAGACATCTAACTTGACTATTGGTCTCTTCTTGTATGACACACCAGCTACTGACTTGAAGGGGAACAGCCAAAACTTGGAATATCTTGATCTTGCAGACATCTAACTTGACTATTGGTCTCTTCTTGTATGACACACCAGCTAATGTGTAAAGCAGGAAGACTGGTATCATTGCTATCTCTACACCTTTTAAGCTGCTTCTTCTCCCACTGCTTCTTTTCTGTGTCTGAAACACATGGGCACCCTCTGGTTGTCCAAAGTTTTGGACCTCATCAGGCTTGCCTTCCATCCTACAGAGCATCTTCTTCTTCCCAGCATCATTTCTTTTGGGCCCCAGCAACACCCAGGTGATGAACTGACTAAATTCACTCTAGAGTATGAGTAACACCAAATTTTCCAAGGTGCATTTGGTTAATGGGAGCCCCATTATGCTGGCCTGCCTGACCACCCTCACAGAAGAGACCACACAGATCCACACCTCATCAGCTTTCCTAACACCTTTCCATGGAGCTGCATACTCACTTGGAGTTCAGTGAGATGTACGACTATTACTTGCAGAAAACATGGAGTAGCAGAGAAAATTGCAAAGACCTGAAGCCATAAACCACAAACTGATAAATATGAAGGATTTCCATGGGAAAAATGAGGCATATTTCCATTTCCAAAATTTCTCCCAAGGAAATGAGGAATAGGCCTAGAACCCAGCACTCAGGAGATGGACCTCTGCTCTGTCCAGGTCCCTGTTATGGCGTTTAAACATCCAGGCAATGGACCATTGAAGGATGTATGGGAGACACTTCCCGCAAAATACTGAAGCACTCTTCTATAGCAATTATTCCTAAAGATACATTCATTCTGAATTTGTCAAAGGTGGGAAAGCCTTCATTAGAAGAAGGTTTCTCAATTACCTAGAGATGATTATTCTTAGCTACAAGACATGAGATAACAGGTCCTTAGAGTTTAGTTTCTGATTTGATAATTGAATTTATGATATGTCTCTTTACAGATGGCTATTTACTGTGAAACAAATTTTCATTAAGATTTCCAAAAGAGGAGTGTCTCACCTCACAGTACTCTGTGATAATGCAGAAACTATCTTGCTCCACAAAGCTTGTGTGGAACTTGACAATGGCTGGGTGGTCCAGCTTGGAAAGGAGTGGGGCCTCCAAATTGGCCTGCACAGTCTCATTCAGATTGAATTCTCCAACAGAGATTTCCTTCAGTACCTTTCTGCAGCCAAAAAAATAATAATTTAAAAACGTTTAGAGCTAAAAAAACACATTTAACAGATATGAACAATGACCAGGCTGTAGGTCTGATACTGTCAGTTATGAAATTCTGCCCCTGGTAGTCTCCGGGCCTGCTTCCCTGTCCTGGTCAGTGACATGGCTTTCCCCAAGGCCTCTGACCTCCACACCTATAGCTCCACAGTTTGCGTCAAACAGAGCAGAGACAGAGCTAATCTTAACCAATACTGCTGAGGTGGCTCTACCTCTGTCTCTCTAGATGTTCCAGGTTCTTTCTGTCTCTCACTGATGTCTTTGTTTCTGTCTACCTCTTTCTGTCTCTTGTCTCTTATTGGCTTATCTCTCTTATATCTTATCTCTTACCTCTTATTTGCTTGTCTCTTATCTGCTTTCCTCTGTTTCTGTCTGCTTTTTTATTTCTCTCTATTCCTATCTTGGTATCTCTTTATCTGTGTCACTGTGTGTGTGTGTAAATAATATATGTTTATATATAAATATAATCTATCTCATTCTGTCTTATTCTCTCTTTGTCTTTAGCTTTTCCTTTCTGATTCACTCTCTGTGTCTCTCTGCCTCTCTGTCTATACACACACACATACACTCACACACACACACACACACATACACATGCACTTCTGGACCTCAGCTCTAAAATTTTCAAGATCTATCAACTTAATATCAGTAGGACCAATATCCATTTATTTTCTTTTTCTAACTATCCTTGGCATAGCATACTTTATTACTACCACAATTTTAACACTAACTTTGGGAGTTTGGGCAAGTTTACTTAATCCCTCCTCTGTAAAACTGAAAATACAAATGCTATGAAGTAGCTGTGAGAATTAGAGATAATACATATGAAGTACATAAAAAAAGTGCTAAATACAAAGTTCTCAAATTGTCATCATTTAATTTATTGTTATGTAGGAGAAGAAAAAATCATTGATAGAAGTATCTAGGATCTCAAGCATATTTACATGGAACAACAGCTCAGTATATATCCACATTACTAATTTAAAAATTGTGGTAACTCAGTGAGGAGTGACCCAAAACGTTATCTCTTCTCACGTAAGGAAAAAATAATCTGATGAACAAACCGATTACAGTACCAACCACATTGCAAACTAGATTGCACCAATTATTTGTGCAGATTCCACTGATGATAAATGAGCTTCAGATGTTCATTTAAGGCATTCTCCAGAACTTGTAGAAAATATTTTGCAAAAATGTTCTTTAAGAGTTACTACCTATGCATATTAATGAAAATCTATTTAGAGTAGAAACCTTCTTAATTAAAAGCCTTCCACCGACCTCATAACTTAACCAGAGCTCTCCTTTGCCACAGGGAATTCCTGTGCCAAGCAGGTGCTCTCTGGCGCACCCACTAACTTCTGACCACACAGCTGACATGTGCACTTACCCAAGTCATTATGCTTATTCCCTACTTTATTTATGCCAATTGTGCCCATTACTGTAAGTTTGTAACTTAAATATGACATACTGATGCAGAATGAGTGTGAGCTTTATTTTTGTTAGGAAAACTAAGTCAAAAGCTTACCAAAAAGTTTGATAACGATGTTGCAAAAAAATTAATGTTAAATAAGTAATTGACAAGACAGTTCTAAAGAGAAGATTTAAAAATGTAAAAATCTAGTATTCCAAATTCAGATTGTTGAATTCTCATTCCACTTTAAAGAAGGTAAACATAGAAAATTTAATTAACATATTACGGATGTAGTTCATGCGACAATGATGAAGGGACGTCTAATCAGAGGACATCAAATTCTGGCTGTGCATCAAAAAATTGGAGGAAATGTACAATGGTATGTTTTAAGTTGATGTAATGTTTTAGTAATTTCATTTAAAAATTTCTTCCTCCATTTAACCAAGTACCAGCCCAAATCACATCAGATAGAAGGGCTTCTTAAAAATGTGATTATATTATACACTTCTCATTAATTCAAATAAGAATTTTCCTCTAGTCGGTACTACCTATTGGCAGATGAATAATTTCCTCAGGCAATACCAGAGGTAGAGATTGTTTCTTCTTTCCAAGTCAGGGTCTAGACGCTTTGATATTGCAGTCAGCAAAGTATGATAAAGTCTTCATGCATTCCACTTCTCAGTGGTTAAAAATTTCATCAAAATTTTAGGTTAGAAAATCTGTCCTAGAAGCTGACATCTTAAGTAGGAAAACTTAGAATGTGTCCTTATAGCTTTCTATCAATGTGTCCTTAGAGCTGTTCTATCAAGAATTTGGTTAAAAATGACTTAATGGTATTTAGAGTGGCATCCCTAATGTTAGTGTACTGAAAGGAGCTTGTAAAAACATAGACAGCTACGTTTTTCTGTAACTCATGAGGTTATGAAGCAGCAGGCAAAGATCAATGACATCTTCATAGTCTTTTTCCAGCAATTTACTGAGCCCCAGCTAACACACAGTTTTAAAAGTCACAGTGGTTAAGCATAATAAAGTCTTACACAGACTTGTAATATTCTCTTGCTGTGAAGGAACAAATGCTATAAAAAGCTTTAAGATACTTCTTTTTCCTTGCAAACATCAACTATTGTGCAACAGCGCATGAGATTTTACATACAGTTACCTGAGCTCCATCTGGCAGCTTGATGATAAAGCATAAAACTCTCACGCACAGCTTAGGACATGAAGGCAGGGCTATTAGGTCAGGTGACATCTAACACAATCGTCCCTAGCTGCCACGGAGACATCCTACCTTCCTCATTGTAAGAATAGAAATAGGTTAGCATAAGCATAGCCATCTTAAAGGCCTAGAAGCCATTTTCTGAGTATGTGACTTAGAAAGAAAAACTGGAACTGGGTAAGGCCTTGAAAAACAAGTTAATCATGAGCACCAGTCTCATTCAGATTGAATTCTCCAACAGAGATTTCCTTCAGTACCTTTCTGCAGCCAAAAAAATAATAATTTAAAAACGTTTAGAGCTAAAAAAACACATTTAACAGATATGAACAATGACCAGGCTGTAGGTCTGATACTGTCAGTTATGAAATTCTGCCCCTGGTAGTCTCCGGGCCTGCTTCCCTGTCCTGGTCAGTGACATGGCTTTCCCCAAGGCCTCTGACCTCCACACCTATAGCTCCACAGTTTGCGTCAAACAGAGCAGAGACAGAGCTAATCTTAACCAATACTGCTGAGGTGGCTCTACCTCTGTCTCTCTAGATGTTCCAGGTTCTTTCTGTCTCTCACTGATGTCTTTGTTTCTGTCTACCTCTTTCTGTCTCTTGTCTCTTATTGGCTTATCTCTCTTATATCTTATCTCTTACCTCTTATTTGCTTGTCTCTTATCTGCTTTCCTCTGTTTCTGTCTGCTTTTTTATTTCTCTCTATTCCTATCTTGGTATCTCTTTATCTGTGTCACTGTGTGTGTGTGTAAATAATATATGTTTATATATAAATATAATCTATCTCATTCTGTCTTATTCTCTCTTTGTCTTTAGCTTTTCCTTTCTGATTCACTCTCTGTGTCTCTCTGCCTCTCTGTCTATACACACACACATACACTCACACACACACACACACACATACACATGCACTTCTGGACCTCAGCTCTAAAATTTTCAAGATCTATCAACTTAATATCAGTAGGACCAATATCCATTTATTTTCTTTTTCTAACTATCCTTGGCATAGCATACTTTATTACTACCACAATTTTAACACTAACTTTGGGAGTTTGGGCAAGTTTACTTAATCCCTCCTCTGTAAAACTGAAAATACAAATGCTATGAAGTAGCTGTGAGAATTAGAGATAATACATATGAAGTACATAAAAAAAGTGCTAAATACAAAGTTCTCAAATTGTCATCATTTAATTTATTGTTATGTAGGAGAAGAAAAAATCATTGATAGAAGTATCTAGGATCTCAAGCATATTTACATGGAACAACAGCTCAGTATATATCCACATTACTAATTTAAAAATTGTGGTAACTCAGTGAGGAGTGACCCAAAACGTTATCTCTTCTCACGTAAGGAAAAAATAATCTGATGAACAAACCGATTACAGTACCAACCACATTGCAAACTAGATTGCACCAATTATTTGTGCAGATTCCACTGATGATAAATGAGCTTCAGATGTTCATTTAAGGCATTCTCCAGAACTTGTAGAAAATATTTTGCAAAAATGTTCTTTAAGAGTTACTACCTATGCATATTAATGAAAATCTATTTAGAGTAGAAACCTTCTTAATTAAAAGCCTTCCACCGACCTCATAACTTAACCAGAGCTCTCCTTTGCCACAGGGAATTCCTGTGCCAAGCAGGTGCTCTCTGGCGCACCCACTAACTTCTGACCACACAGCTGACATGTGCACTTACCCAAGTCATTATGCTTATTCCCTACTTTATTTATGCCAATTGTGCCCATTACTGTAAGTTTGTAACTTAAATATGACATACTGATGCAGAATGAGTGTGAGCTTTATTTTTGTTAGGAAAACTAAGTCAAAAGCTTACCAAAAAGTTTGATAACGATGTTGCAAAAAAATTAATGTTAAATAAGTAATTGACAAGACAGTTCTAAAGAGAAGATTTAAAAATGTAAAAATCTAGTATTCCAAATTCAGATTGTTGAATTCTCATTCCACTTTAAAGAAGGTAAACATAGAAAATTTAATTAACATATTACGGATGTAGTTCATGCGACAATGATGAAGGGACGTCTAATCAGAGGACATCAAATTCTGGCTGTGCATCAAAAAATTGGAGGAAATGTACAATGGTATGTTTTAAGTTGATGTAATGTTTTAGTAATTTCATTTAAAAATTTCTTCCTCCATTTAACCAAGTACCAGCCCAAATCACATCAGATAGAAGGGCTTCTTAAAAATGTGATTATATTATACACTTCTCATTAATTCAAATAAGAATTTTCCTCTAGTCGGTACTACCTATTGGCAGATGAATAATTTCCTCAGGCAATACCAGAGGTAGAGATTGTTTCTTCTTTCCAAGTCAGGGTCTAGACGCTTTGATATTGCAGTCAGCAAAGTATGATAAAGTCTTCATGCATTCCACTTCTCAGTGGTTAAAAATTTCATCAAAATTTTAGGTTAGAAAATCTGCCCTAGAAGCTGACATCTTAAGTAGGAAAACTTAGAATGTGTCCTTATAGCTTTCTATCAATGTGTCCTTAGAGCTGTTCTATCAAGA